TGGTTTTCAACCAAACAGGATGGGATTTGGAACATAGATAGATATAATGGACTTCTACAAGAAGGTATGGTCACTATGCACATGCATACACGTGCGTGTACGTGTGCTGCAATCTGATTGGCTGAAACTTTAAACAGCTAAAACTCCCTTGGTTTTCAACCAAACGGGATGGGATTTAGAACATAGATAGATGTAATGGACCTCTACAAGAAGGTATGGTCACCATGCTCATGTATGCATGTGCGTGCACGTGAAATGAGTAAAATCAAAAATACACTTGAATGAGCGTATTTTTTAATACTTTTGGATTAAATACTTTAATATTGTGTAGACAAGATGATATGGTCATAACGCACATGCATTCACATGCGCACGCGTGCATTGCTCAAATTTGAATGAACTTGATACACTTTTGGGTAAACGTTTTAAAGTCTCAAATGTATAGAGTTTGTCTTATTTAATGAAGATTACAGGGAATATGGCACCAAATGGGCATTGGGGAGCGTTTGGGGAACATCTGTAACGGTCCCCGTTACAATTAGCACTAGTTTTCTGTCTTTTTTGCTTCAAATTACCTCCCTTTGGTATAGCTCTCTAACATAGGAGGAATAAACGGTAGTTTGCTTACATTGTTTTCAATAACAGTTTACAGAAGACTAGAAGAAAATTACAAACTTGGAGCAGTCTGAGCCTCAGTTTTGGCGTTTTCATGAGTCTTAATTACGGTTAGTGACTGAATTTTTTACAATTTACCATTACAACAGTTTCTGAAGAATTTATAACAGAAATTAACCATGCAGGAAAATATGTAACACTTGGCAAGTGTTTTTTTTTTGCACATTTCAATTTAATTCTGATGGATTTATATGTTAGCATTACTTTAGTATTTTATAACTAAAAAGAAAAGATTATGCATGGCCTGAGGAACCAAGAGGAGGGGGTATGCCCCTCCTTCCCCTCCCCGATAATATTGCCGATATTTAACTATATAATATGATAATTAAAATGAAATTAAATTCCCCAATTTAGATTGTTTCTGCGGGCCGAACGTGAAAAAGTTGGTCATGATCAGTTACATAACTGTATCCCAAATTATAAAGTTTAATTTGAATTTAGTTTAATTTTGATTTGTTGTATTCACAGCATGTGTGTAACCAAGTCACTCACCAGCTATAATGATTATAACTTGAGTGATGGTCGGGTAAATAAAAATTCTGTATATAGTAATATATATCTTTATTTACCATTTAAGATAATACCTGCTTTTTACATAAAAAATTATGAATTTATGAAAATCAACACTATTATGAAATATTTGTAAAATGGAATGACTTTTGTTATGGCGTCGTAAAAAAAGAAAAAGGGGCAGGGGGTTAACTCTGTACTTAATATATTTTAGTTTAGGAAAGGGGATTACCTTGGAAGTATTGTGATACAGACAAGTATATAATGTAGTGGACTAGTGGTAACTGAATTGTATATATACCACAGTAAAATAATAAATTTTAAAAAAAAAGGTTTTTGCTGAAGTCATCCAGTGTTTACTTATGAAAGAAAATTCATATTCAGCTAACATTTTCACCGGTACCACTGCACTAATTTAAGTCAACTAGGTTCAAATAATAAGCATCATTAGAATTACAGCACATAAATTTTTGAAAAGAATTTCTATACTCTATAAGTCTATTTTTTCTTGAAAGGGGGGGGGGGGGTGTTATTGGAAAGAAATGAAAACCACAATTTAGAGTTTTGACAAAACCTAGAACCAATTGACCTTTTTATTACAAGTTTATATTTAAAGAATATCTAAAATCAATACCGTCTCAACTTTGTGTTGTATACTTCTGTTTTTAGAATGAAATTCGCCACTTTGAAGCCAAACTCGGAAAGAAGCAGAAACAGAATTGGATGAGCTGATATAGAATTAGACAGGAAAAACGTGTAAATAATACATTTAGTAAAAACGTTAACTTTTTAAAATAAAATGATAAACTAAACCATTGAGATCTCTTGGAATTTAATTGATTCCAATAAACATGCTTTGTATTCATCATCATTGCTCAAGCTCAACTAGAAATGGTTCTTAGTAAGTATCTGAAGGCAAAGCTGTATTATATTATTACATTTTAATTTTATCACTTTTTCAGATTATCATTATGAGAATACATTATTACAGTACAGACCATTGATGCTGGAAGTGAGTGGATAGTGTAATCGGAGACTCAGGGATCCAGAAAATAGATCCATAAATTGTACAATGTATTCATGAAAGTGGATCAAATAAAAATGTTCAATCCAAAAGTAACATTCTTTGTTTGTCTGTTAGCATTTTTTTATTGATGTAAATCTAACAAGCTAATTCAGAGAAATTGTGTCCCCCGCTTAGGGAAAAAGTAAACCATGCGCAGTTCGGGGCGGGATGGGGGTGGGGGGGGGGGGGGTCGGATCCCCCCTAATTGAATTTGTAGAATTTTTAAATGTATACATGTATACTGAAGCAAATAAAATATGTCAATATTGATATAATGATTTGATTATGTGTATAGAAGGTTCATTTTATGTGGATTATTTATCACAACGTAATGATGATTTTATGAGTTTGTACAAGCTAGACCTCATAATTTTTTTTCATTTCACTTGCTGAATACTATCATTTAGTAAAAAAAAGAATTTCGGAAAAGAAAAAAAATGATCGTCCGAGAATCGAGCCCGTGACCTCTCGCATGTGAAGCGGGAGACATACCACTGCGCCACGGAACTGCTGTATAATTTCGACCATTATATGCAAATATGAAGTCACATACATGTATATATTCACGTTTGATATCGTAAAAAAATTACACAAAACATGGTGTCTAATTCAACCTTTATTAAACAGTTCTGGTAGATGTGATAGGAATACAAATTCTGCCGAAAACCTGTTTTATACGCAATAACTCTCCTCATGCCCCTGTGCTAAAAATAGCGACATGTAATACTATAAATACTAATAAAACAAACGGGGCGGGACACTTTGAGAGAGGTCCTAGGGAGTTTTGGTATAAAATACATTGCATAAGCTCAAAATCTTCTTGAAATACCGCCCGGAAATGATAGTGTTACACACAGAGAGAATGTATAAATTTACGACCTTTAACTTTGATCTTTTGACCTCAAAATCAATAGGGGTCTTCATAAGGCCACGTGGAGTTGTCATGTAAAATTTCATTGCAATAGCTCAGATGGTTGTAGAGATACTGTGTGGAAAGGAAAGTGTTATTACAGACAGAATTTGTTTATTTATGACCTTGACCTTTGACTTTTTGACCACAAAATCAATAGGGTTCTTCTTTAGTCCATAGGGAGTAACTGTTGCTATGCTTAATTTCACTGCAAAAGCTCAGAGGGTTCTCGAGATATCGTGTGGAAACGAAAGCGTTCCAGACAGACAGAAAGATGGACGGACGGAAGGACAAACGGAAGGACAAACGGACAAACTCGGGAGGGGGGTGTGGTTAAACATTAGGGTACGTTGAGAAAAAGTTGCGTGGGGGATGTCATCCCCCCTACCCAACCCAAATCTGATGCTACATGCCTGATTGACATGGTTTTTCTTTATAATTATGTGAGCTGTCATAGTGACTCTCTTTCATAAACAAGAATTATTGTGAGCAAGCTAATAAAATGATACCAACCCTCCTGCTATTGCATTAAATGTTTTTTTTTTATTATAAAAAAAGTCTAAATACTAATTTGAAACCTTTTAAAATTTTGTTTAGTGCAGTTATACATACCAAAAATGACTATGACAAATACTCAAGTCATAGGTAGTGAAACCGTTGTGTTGAGCACAAACTTTCCCTTCATTCGAAGTTAAATATGTAAATGTGCCAAACTCATATAGTACACTTTTACTGCAGTGACCTTGAAAAAGCTATGTCCTTGAGTCAAGGGCAAACATGTTCAAATGAATTTTGGTCAAGGTAATGACAAACCTACAGCTTAAAAATAATTCCCAAAATGAAACCAAGTCTTTTCATTAGAATGTTACAGAATGGGCAAAGGTTGCACTTTTCTTCTATCAGTGACCTTGAACTTGTTCAAATGACCTTGAGTCAATTTTTGACACATCTCTCGATCGCAAGCAATCTTAATATCAATTATGAACTTTCAGTGGCACTTCATTGAAATGTTATGGACAAGTCAAAATTTTACATACATATGGATTGGTGAACAAGGTGATTCCTACCCCCCCCCCCCCCCTTTTTTCCAAGTTTCGTTTGTGAGGAATATAAAATTCCTTTTGAAATTGAATGTGCATTTATTTATTAACACTAGTAAAGTTATGAGTATGCTTTGATCAGAACCAATATGGCCAATATAATGGACACTGAACATGTATTCAAATTACCCCCACCCCTTCAAAAAAGCTTATAAATGCCAGATTCTCACACATTTTAACCATTTGTAACTTTTTTCTGTTAAAGTTGCCTGCAAATTTTATTGTATAGATATGACATATAGATAACCCCTAACAAGATCATACCATTCATTTTTCCAGCAGTGGTTGTAGATTTTGTGAATAAAGTGATAAACATATGGAACTTTTTTCAAAATTAATAAGCACTGACGCAATGTTCTTTTCCCGTTGTCATGGCAACAATATAACTACGGAAATTTTGTTTTTCCTATATTTTGAGAATAAAGTAATTCCATCTTTTAACAAATAAAGTAACCAAAATACCTTATCTTATCACGTTCAGAAAACATATTCGTAGAAAAATGTCTAAAAATCATTGATTTTCATAAGGATTTATGAGCCCGTTGCTAAGGAAATGAATTTCCTTGGATACCAGTCCCTTCATACGTTCGAAAAAAAATTTAATTGTGTTTTAGCATAAGTTAAGACAAAATCTTTCATATACCAAAAGCTTTTGAAAAAATAAAATTTTGACTTTCCATTCAATGCTCGATGCTTGCTGATTTTGACTCTTAATTATAAATAATAAAATTATATTGAATCATAAATTAATGTTATCTGGGAAAGAGATGAAGGCATGTCTCATGCTGACGTTGAATGAAACATCGGCTGACCTCTGTAGAACTCTGGTCTGGTTCCTTACAGAGTTACGGGTCCTGCCGATAGGACTAGCACACTCCATCTGTTGTTCGATACTTTTTGATACTGTTAAATATATACACACGTTTATTTGTACAATCACAAAACTTCAGAATACCTAAAGATCTTTATACATTTTTACAATGACAATCAAAATCCTTGCATCAATTTAAAACTCCAATATATGCAATCTCATTTGTGACAATTTATTCGGAGAGAACAATGACTCCATTAGACTGGTACACAGACCTGAGGCAGAGATCTGGAAATCTTTTGGAACGTTCTGTAGGTTAGGTTCAGACAGACTGACCCGTCCTGTGGCTGAGAAGTACTGGACATCTGTAATTATCCTGTACATCTTTAACCTCTCCACGTACACCTTCTCCTTCTGCAGGGCAAACACCACCTTGGTCAGGGCCCCACTGATCCGGCGCCACTCCAGGAGGATCCCAGGGAGCGGGTGGTAGGGGCGCAGTTTCTCCAGGACATCCTTACTGGTAGAAAACTGGGTCTTCTGGCAGCCTCTCCGACCTGTGGAGGCCCGTCTGTTGGGTCTGGTAGGCTGTCCCAGACTGCTGGGGTCACCATTAACAGGGAGCTGTAGTTCTATAAATAGCACCTATCAGAGAGATATAGTTGTATAAGATATAGTTCTATAAATAGATATAGTTCTATGAATAGCACCTGTAAAGGAGATATAGTACTATAAATAGCATCTGACAAAGAGATATAGTCCTATAAATAGCACCTATCAAAGTGATTTATAAGATATTCTTACTAAGATAAGTAATTTGTCTGACCTTTTTAACTTAACTTTTGATGACCCTGATTAAAATAGACATTTAAAGAAAGGTTACAGATTACATCTAACCTGAGAAAGATCTTCAGTTGAAGTCAGAGAAAACTGGTGCCCCACCAGCTGGTACGCCTCAGCCTCAAGTTCACCAAATCGTTCTATCATCACTGTCTTCTGTCTCTCACACTCCTCATCATTAAAACCTGTATTTGGAATTTTTTTATTTTACTGTAGAATTGATTATTTAAAAAAAATAATTTTTTTATTTTCCCTATTTACTTTGAAGAAAATGATTGATTAGTCTCAGAAAAGATTTAAGAAAGCAGCTGAGCATCTACATGAACAAGATTAATTACCTATTTAATCAATAACAGATCATCATCAGCCAGATGCTTGTTTTCCTGAATGTGTACAGAATCACTTCCTATACATAATGAAGACTCTTTACGGTCCTCACCAAATCCGTTCATCTCCATACGAGACAGTGTGATGACAGCTGGCATCTCGATGTCGTGGAAGGCTGACATCAGGTTCTCTTTGGTCAGACAGAGAGAGAGGTACTGCATTAAGTGTGTCAGTAGGACAGCCTCGGTACAGGCCCGCAGTCGACCCGACCCAGGGTTCTCAGGGGACATTCCTAGGCTTCCATACCCCACTCCACCTCCAATACCTACAGGGAAACATATATGCAGCTGTCTGTTGTTTACTTTACAAACATTCTCAGATTAATTTATCAAGTAGGTCTTTATCTTACATTTGAAAAAACACCAAAATATTAAAGCAAAATTTTATGCTATATAAATATCTATAATTAACCTTCTAGGAGAAATGCTTCCAAAGGGAAGTAATCATGGACCATGCGGTGAAGATTCTTCTCATTGGCCCCTGGGTCCATTATCCAGCTGGCTACCTTCGGGTCCTGAAACTTTCCCTGGCAACTTATACCACAGCCCCTCTCTAAGGCCCCATAAGAGGACTTGGCATCCATTGCTATCACTGTGTAGTTGTCTCTGTCTTCTAGTGACAGCTAAATGGCTTCCAGGCGAGCTGACACTGAGAGAGATTTATCAAGTCCCGGGGGTGAGAGGTCAAGATCATCTTCATCTGCAGAGAAGTTATATAAAACTATACAGCAAAACTTGTTAAGTACGAACACAGATATTGCGTATTTACAGGTATAGCGAAGTCATCTTGGATCCGAACTATATAAATTTAATGAATTTCTTATACGGTTATAACAAATTAAGGATATAGCGAAGTAATTTCATAGGTCCCAGTGACTTCCTTATAACCAAGTTTTGCTGCATATCATTTATAATCTCTAAATATTTATGTATCTGCAGTTGATTGATACATTTGATACATCTAGGAAATTTAATCAGTATTCTTTTAAGATCTTGAAATTATTTTAACCCCTTCATATTAATTAAGACAAAAGATCCACATACCCTCTGCATTCTCTGGGGTCAAGGAAATGAAATAAGCATCTCTGTCTTCCCAGCTGATTGACACACCTGTAATTAACAGGTTAGTTCCTGTGACAGGCAATCCATGGGAGACCACTCCAGGCTCTTTCTCTGTAACATTTTATAGTGTAGACGTACAGTGTATATATATGGGTATGTGCATGGAATATAATAATACAGCCAAGTGAATGTTTCATACAACATAAAGAAAAATTTGAAGCAAATGTCACAATAAAATTGCTTTTCCTTCAGATTGAACCTGTTGTACAGAATCTAATGGGAATAGGTATCCCAGGAAGAGAGTAGAGCATCCTTAGAACTATCCAGCCAAAAGTTTGTCATTTTTACACATACATTTATTTTGATGTTATACAGAAAGGTAGGTTACAAAAAATATCCTTTAAGAAAGTAATAAAGTTTTAAAATGATTTAGCTATCATAAAATAAAGGAATAAGATCTTACTCACAAGAAGAGGAAGGCAAGTTTGAAATAAAAGTAAAAACTCAGGTTGAAAAATCTCTTCTATTAAAACAAAGAAAGAAAAACAGAACCTTAAACAACAGCATTTCACGAAAAAACCCTTAAATCATTTTGAGAGAAAATTATCAGCATTGAATCCCATACCTCTATTACTTTGGTCTGTTGTCCCTCCTTTAGAAAACCTGGCTCCTATTTGTCCTGCAGCAGAAGAGGAGACTGGGGAGGAGGGCTTGGTCCTACAGGCCACAGATAAAGAGGAGACTGAGGAGGAAGGCTTGGTCCTACAGGCCACAGATAAAGAGAACACTGACTGTGTCCTCCACTCAGCAAGGAACGTCTCAAATAACCTACCATCAGCACACACATCTATAATAGTGAAGGACCCCTGAGAAGGAGGGAGCCCTGTCTCATTAGGGTCCACTATTGGCCCTCTCTCTTCATGTGGTACATGTACTTCATCACCTTCACAATTTTCCTCCACTATATTTTCATTTTTCTTTGAAGCATCAGAAGTGTCAATACATTTCCTGGCCCTACCAGTGCTGGCATTTTGACCTTTAGACCTCAGACTATTGGGTGTGGTCTTTCTGATTGTCCTTGGAGAGTTTAGAAGACCTGGTCTTGGAGGGTAGGAGAAAGACACTCATTAGTTCTGGTTTTATCTTTTTTAGATTTTTTAACTTTACCTCCTTCAGCCTTCTCTAAACTTTTTCTTTTACATTTTCTACCATCAGATTTTCCTTGGCTGTTTACATTCTTGTTTGTGTTTTTATGTTTAGTTTTCTGAGAAGAGACCTTTTTGGGTGAAGGTGATTTCCCCACTAATGTATCACTGTCAGTGTCTATACTTGTGTGAAGATCATCAAGGAATGCCAGTGTCCCAGGACTCAGCTTCTTGTCTTTAACTTGTGATGCCCCTCTTGATTTCAATTTAGTATATTTAGAATCACTTGATTTTACATTTGATTTTCTATTGCACTGCCCCATATCACTTATTTCTAATACTTCATTAACCATGGAAAAAGTTAACGAGTCACTCATTTCGTCTGCCTTATCATTTGTCTCTTTCCCTCCTGATTTTTGTTCTGATGTGTACACTTCAAATTTTTTAAAGTAATTATTTTTTTCACTTCCTTTTGACAGAATGCCTGCTTCTGAAGACTTTTTAGTTTGTGTTCCATCACTCTCTTCATTAAATGTGTCACTGAGTTCTAGTGCCAGCATTAAGTCCTGTGACAGCTGGCTGTAGCCTGTCTGAGTGGGATCTTTTTCTTTTTTATCACTGCCCTGGAAACAGGCTTCCTGCCCACTAAGATAAGGAATTCTGAGGTCCCTGTATGACTACTTTTTACTGACATCTGATTCATCATCTGACATCATACATCTCTCCAAATTACTGGCTGGTAACAGGTCACATGACATGTCATGCAGACTGCTGCTAAGATTCAAATCTTTATCATACTTATCATTAATATCAGCATCATCTCCATTTCTTTCTTCACTATTGCCATTTTCTCTCTTTTTTACCATCTGCACTTTTACTTGACGGAGGTATCATAAAGTTCACTTCTTTGTCCTTTACGTCACTAACCTTATTGTTCAGTTCATCTCTAGAATGGCTGGATTGTTTAAAACAAATTCTCGCTTCCAATGTATCTTTTCCCTGCATACATTTATTAAAACTTTTCTCTTTAGAAGAAGATAGCTTTCCTACCTCATTAATGAAACCAATATCTGCTTTGGCTAAACCTGACACAGATTTTATATGATTAGTACCGGGCACTGGTTCCTGAGAAGATAAATCCTCCTCAGATTTTGGAGATTTCCCCACAGAAGCCAATGCTGGGAAATCTACTTGACCTACATCCATCTGAGATTCAAAGACAAAACTATCGGTAAAGTCCCCTGAACAAAACATATCCTCTGTAACTTTCTCTTTGTTTTCTTTAGGATTTTTGTTCAAACTCATTTGATCCACTTCTCTAGAACTAGAATGAATTTTCAAATTTTCCATAGACGAGTGATTTATTTGATTTTTCTGTACAAGAGGAGTTTTTATATCAGATCCTTGCTTGATGGCTGGAGTTTGTTTGTTATTTGTCTTTGCAGTATCATCAGGATCTCTCAGACAGTCAGGTTCATGGACGCCTAATGAAGAGACTTTCCCATCAGAATTTGCTCTGTTGCCTTTTTCATTATTTACATTTTCTCCTGTCTTGATTAAATCAGATGTCAATGCTGGGATTTCGATGGCGTTAGTAGAAGAAGCAACTGAAGAATAAGTATCTAAACATGGAGACATGGGGGCATTTTAACTAGAGGCAGTTGTACTCTTAGGGAAAGCTAGTTGGTGAACATTTCCAGATATGTCGTCCATTGTACCTGAAGAAATTTCAGATCTCTTGGCAGATGATGTTTTCATTTGTTTGGAGTTTTGTTGTTTCTCAACTTTATTCAGAATTATCTCTTTACTTGTTCCATCACAAGACTCGGAATTGTGTATTTGAGGAACAGAACAGCTTTCTTCCACTGGATTTGGTGGAAAATGGTGAATTTCTGCTGTGGTTGTAAGTTTTGTCATCAATGTAGTACAATCTTCTTTTCCCCCTTTCAAATTATCATTTGTGCTTCCCCTACTATCAGATGTGATTGTTTTGTTCATGTATCCCTGTCTGTTCCCTAGTGTTCTGATGCCAGGTGGACTGACTACAACAGACCTCTCTAATACTCTGAAATCATCTCCATTAGAAATCCCAGACTTGGGGAGTCCAGGACTTTTCTTTCCCACTGATTTCCTTTTCCCTACTGACCTCCTTCCCTTGGGCCTTACCAAGGTCATACCACCATGACTTTTGCTTAAACCCTGAGCCTTCTTGTCATCTTGACATACCACTTTGCTCTGATCCTAATTTGAACCCACATTCTGGATGTCCCTGGATTCTGGATTTTTCCACTGGATTCCCAGTCCGCCCAGCTCCTGTTGGATGACTGACTTGGTCTCCTCTATGATGGCCTCCGCGGCTTCACGCTCTGTTGCACCTTTACGCCCCGTTAACCAGATACAGCGACTCTCCTGTCTCTTTGTCGCCTCCCATTCTCTCTCATTGTCCTGTCTCTTAGAGCTGCAAATTAAAATCTAAGTCTTAGATACTTGATCCTTGTCCCCAGGGGCTGTAAATTATAATCATATATACATGTATCAATATTTATAACAGCCCGTCCAGGAATGATTTGAACTATTAAATCTGAATCTAAGCTAATTAGAAATACTTGTATGAGGGTCATTCAAAAAGTTCGTAGACTTTTGACCGAACTTTTTTTAATTAACGTCATATTGTATCCAAATTTGTAACGCATATTTTTAACAACAAAATCAAATAATTTGAGTTCAAAAATTTTAATATACATATATCTTCATATTTATAAAAATTATGAAAGATTTAGAACAGCAAAACTGGAGCCACGGAGCAAAAATTGAGTAATTTACTAATTTATATTATCTATAGCCATACCTCCTTGACCAATAAATGAAGCTGAAACGGAATAAAATTTACATGCATAAATTCAGTCTTGCTGTACTATTTACGATGCTTTCAGGTAATGTTAAATATCGCTCTGTTTAAAAGATATCAGTTTCTAAATACACATTGACACGATGAAAACAAGCAAAAAATCATGACGTAGGAGGACGTCACGGAGCAGCGAGTAAGAGTAGAAATTTGCTTTGTGTTCGTCAAATCTGTTTAAACAAACTTAAAACTTTCTGTATAAACCAGAAAATGTATGAAAATAAACTGTACGTGTATTTTTATAAAATGGACAGTGTATTTTTTTGAGTGGTAGCGAGTTTGAATCGTTCGATGTATGGCCTGCAAAGAAACGGGTTATAATTAAAAAAAGATCTTGTCAAAAGAGTTAGGAACGCCATTACATGTTTACTTGACATGTGGTTCACTGTTGCCGAACTAGTATTGATAAAGATACACAGTAAAGAATTTGAAAACACTAACAATCTAGTTCAAGCTATTAGTACAATTGTTAGAAAACTATATATCAAGTGTTATTGATACGTTTTTAAAACTGAATGTACTATGCTGAAAACTTGGAACTTTGATTTACATGTAAAACTTTGGAACTTTGATTTACAAAAAGCAACTTTGATTTACTAAATTTGGAAACTTTTTTACTATGGTAAAAACTTTATTTGATTTACGTTAATACTTTGGAACTATTTACTTGGTAATCATGCTTTACGTGGTAAAAAAATTTACATGTGAAAACTTTAAAAATTAAGTACTATAAAACCCGTTATGGTTTTATTTCATTTTGTACAAATGTCAATAAAACTTATTACACTTCGACAAAATAAATGCTTTTATTTACAAAAATGAATTTTAATGAAGAAATTGTCTTGTTATAAGCAATATTTATTATTACGATGGAGAAAAAAATGTCTACATAAAAAAAAATTTTTTGAATGAAATAATGCATTTAAATAAATTACTTTGTATTTATCAATAACTAAAAAATTCATCAAACCAAAATCATCACCCTTAAAACAGATTAATAATAAAAAAAAAAACTGAAAAAACAACAAAAACTTATACTTTGATTTAAACTTTGGAACTTTGAAATGGAGAAATATAGTTTGGAGAATAACTACATAAACTTTGGAACTTTGATTTACATGATAAACTTTGGAACTTTGATTTACTATGGTCAAAACTTTGGAACTTTGGTTTACTATAGCTTTTTTGAACATGGTGAAAACTTTGGAACTTTGATTTACAAAAACTTTGGAATTTTGATTTACTTTGAAAAACTTTTTTTTTTTAAAACTTTGGAATTTGATTTACAAGTTCTATAATAAACTATAGTTAACTATAGTTTACCATAGTATTTTTTGTTAGGGATTGTTAGAAAACTATATATCAAGTGTGATTGATACGTTTTTATAGAGGACAAAAACCATGTCTGATGAAATCAAAAAGCAACTCTAAAATTTGAAAACTTTTTTGAGTTATTTTGAAGATGCAAATGTTAACATGCTCCGTAGGTAACAAAACAATATATGCTTTAAAAATTGGCAACATATATTTCATCAAATGCAATGAAACTTCACACTTCACAAAATAAATGCTAAATTTTACAAAAATGTGTTGATCTGAAAACTTGTTATAATAATTCAATAAATTGTATACATATTTTTGAATGATATAATGTAAATCAGAAAATATTGCTAGTTTTTTTTAAATGAATTCATTTCAGCAATTCTTTATCCATCCAAAAGATATCTCCTAATAGAGGGGGGCATTACTTTTATTTGTACTTTGTGCAAAGTCTGATTGAAAATGGTTAAGTAATTCTAGTGAAGAAGATGCAAATGTAAACAAAATTACATCAATTTTAGCTTTAAAATTTATAAAATAACCTCAAGTTTGTTCAGAAAACTTGAAAACTATGATTTTTCTAATCCTTTCATTAATATTATCATTCTATACATTATATTGAAAATATTGCCTTTGAACACACAAGATTAGTTCTACATCAGTGATACTGGCGTTTACTGCCAAAATGTGGAAGCCCCCATTGTACAGGACTCTGGCCCGCTGTCCGTTCAGCAAGGTCAGTCTCAGAAGGTCACACAGCTCTCTCTGGACTCCAAAGGTCAAAGGATGCTGGAACTGACCAAGGATCAACTCCAAGTTATACCAACCCAGCCTGCCACAAAACACGGTCACCATACCTAAGGCAGAAGCAATATTTAAATAAGGAAATAATTCAATTATGCCACACCAATCAAATTTTTTGTTCATCAGACCAAAGCGCTCATATTTAAACAAAACTAAGAAAATGATATTAATTTAAATTTTCCGCACCATGGGGATTTCTGTGCTTTTTCTGTTTTATTTCTGCTCTATTTATCGTATTTTTAATCTGCTTACTCTTAAAATCAGAAAAAATATAATTGTTCTCTCAATTTTTTTTACGATCCGCCTAAAAATTTCGCCTACCTACAAAAAGTAATAACATTATTATTTATTTCATCAAATGTCCGACGAACAAGCAATTAAATTGGTGTGGCCTTATAACAAATTTCATATCTGCTTTATTTGCATGCTCAGGTGAAAAATGTGAGTTATTTAGGAACTTGTAAGGCTCTCTACCATCAAAGAAACCAATTTTCTTACTTTAGTCAATACTTGATGCCCTAGTTAAAAAGAAAACCATATTATAACTTGTAAGATTCCCTACCTGCAAAAGTGGCGGCTGTCTGCTGTAGGGACTGGAGCTGACCTTTGTTACAGCTGTAGCGGTGACACACCTCCCCCAGGGGAACTTCCTGTACAAGGTCACTCAGTATCAGGCAGGTATAGAACCTAGTAGACACAGATAAAATCATGCTTAATTTCTACATACATTTACATGTACACAGAATACATTTGATATCTCTACCAGTATTAAGTTTCCTTTCAACTTGTTACTGTAAACGTATTACATTTAGCGTAGTATTCTAATTAGCGATTTTGGTGGTAAGCAGAGTCTGCTAAATCAAGTACATCGCTAAATGCATTGTATATCATACAGGTATACCTAGCACATTCAGATTGCACTAAATCAAATCTACACTAGCTTGTTGAAAATTCAATTTCCGCCAAATATCATACACGCCAAATATAATAACTTTACAGTATTGCTACATGTACTACACCTTCATAAGGATGTTCTTGGGACATGAAGTTTTATATTCTTTTTACTAAAGCTTGTTCATATCCATATCAGAAAACAATACAACATTAGAGATGGGAGAAAGATGAATCTTCTTTGAAAAAAAGTTTTTCTGACATCAGTGTTCCTTGTAAGTGAGTTTAACTGTACATTAAATCAAACAATAATTTAGAAATCTGTTGCATTCAACCGCATCTCTTGTGTATGACCAGACTTCTTAACTGATTCTCTGTTTTCGTTGGTATCCTCCCCTGGATGGCCCTGGTGAGGAATGCCTCACTGACCCCCACCAGCTGAGCCACTCTCTTCTTGTCCGGGGAAAGTTTGTCCCACAGACAGTAGAACTTGTACCAGTCCATGTTAGCCCCCAAGTCTAGGGAGTAGATGGGGTCACCTACAACATTGGAATAAAGATGTTATATAAGGGGTGATTTTTCAAGACAATTTCTTTCACCATACTATCATAATGATTGTAATTTATATTGATGGCCTGCTCAAATATAAATAACAAGAATGAACCATAAGTAATTTGTTAAAAAAAACTCTGTTCCATTCAAAACAACTTTTCCTAAGACAAAACCAAAACCCTAACCATCATAACACTCACTAGATAGACAATGTGCAGCTCATTCTCCAGAACAAAACACTGTCTAATACAACACTCACTAGATAGACAATGTGTAGCTCATTCTCCAGAACAAAACACTGTCTAACACATTACTCACTAGATAGACAATGTGCAGCTCATTCTCCAGAACAAAACACTGTCTAACACATTACTCACTAGATAGACAATGTGTAGCTCATTCTCCAGAACAAAACACTGTCTTATACAACACTCACTAGATAGACTATGTGTAGCTCATTCTCCAGAACAAAACACTGTCTAACACATTACTCACTAGATAGACAATGTGTAGCTCATTCTCCAGAACAAAACACTGTCTAACACATTACTCACTACATAGACTATGTGTAGCTCATTCTCCAGAACAAAACACTGTCTAATACATTACTCACTAGATAGACTATGTGTAGCTCATTCTCCAGAACAAAACACTGTCTAATACATTACTCACTAGATAGACTATGTGTAGCTCATTCTCCAGAACAAAACACTGTCTAATACAATACTCACTAGATAGACTATGTGAAGCTCATTACTCACTAGATAGACAATGTGTAGCTCATTCTCCAGAACAAAACACTGTCTAACACATTACTCACTAGATAGACTATGTATAGCTCATTCTCCAGAACAAAACACTGTCTTATACAATACTCACGAGATAGACTATGTGTAGCTCATTCTCCAGAACAAAACACTGTCTAACACATTACTCACTAGATAGACTATGTGTAGCTCATTCTCCAGAACAAAACACTGTCTAACACATTACTCACTAGATAGACAATGTGTAGCTCATTCTCCAGAACAAAACACTGTCTAACACATTACTCACTAGACAGACTATGTGTAGCTCATTCTCCAGAACAAAACACTGTCTTATACAACACTCACTAGATAGACAATATATAGCTCATTCTCCAGAACAAAACACTGTCTAACACATTACTCACTAGATAGACTATGTGTAGCTCATTCTCCAGAACAAAACACTGTCTAACACATTACTCACTAGATAGACTATGTGTAGCTTATTCTCCAGAATAAAACACTGTCGAGCTTTCTGTAGTTCAGCAAACACAGTCAGACCTTCATCTGGAGAAAGACTGGAGGTTAGTACAGCTGCACCGAGCTGTGTGGAAACAAACTCTGTTGTCATACCATCTATAACAAATAATTTGTCAGAAGTGATTACATGTACCTAAGGAGTGCAATATATTTAGCCATCTTTTGGAGCAAGATTATATAACAAAAAACGAAATACACTTATTAACTAGAAATAATAAAGAAGAATTTAAAAGCGCTTCATGTTACCATCTGAGGAGCATAATGTTTGTTTTCTGTTGAGGAGAATGACTTTGCTATGCTAACCTTCTGTTTGTGATTTCTGAAGAGACACAAACTCGTTGTCCTGAAGGAACTGTATACAGGCATCAATCATGTCCTGTGTCTGATCAGAGGTGGTCTCCAGGGAGGCCGCTAACATAGTACAGGGGGCATAGGCCGCCAAATCTGTCACAGACAGCGCCACACCACTGACTACGATATGTATAACACAGAATAATGTATAATATAATAGATATATAATATATACAAAAAGGCATAGACCGCCACATCTGTCATGGACAGTGCCATACCACTGACTACTATCTGTATAACACATAAATAATGAAATCACTGACAATAATATTATCCGTATCACACACAAAGTAATGACACCATTGACAACTATCTTTTAACAAATAAAATATAATAACAAGTCAAAAGAAATTTTACTACCTGTTTTCTTTGCCACATTTTTATTTACAGAACAAACAGAAGCTGTTACATAATAGCAAACTTATATATAGATGTTCCTAGACAACTCCTGACAGGTGGCAGTTCAGACTGTACTAATGTCACGGCTTTACTTCTCTCATTCGGCTTACAGATCAGGATACTCTCTCCTACAAGTTTAATTAATTAATAATGAAAATTAATAAATTACTTAATAAATCAGAATAATTTTTTTTATTTGGCAATGCTTAATTAAAAATCCAGGATATTTTTTTCCTTAACAAACATTTTACTGGGTACATAGAATTTATGATAATATTCCTAGAATAAAAAACACAGAAACATAACATTTTAAAGATTAAAATTATCTTTCTTTATTTTTCACAAGCTGTGTAAAAAGATTGTTTCAGAATAATACAGCTAAAATACATAGCCTTCAATAATTTTAAAAAGAATTTAATATTTTTATTATTAGAACATGTAGAATTTTAGTGTGTAAGCAGTTGAAATATTTGTACATAGAAATTCTTGCTTTAAAGAAAACTTCGGTTTTCTACTTTTCATAAAACAACAGAAAAATCAATTTAAATTTTGTTTTTTGATACACCAGATAAGGTAGATGTGTAAAGCAATTGATTAAATAGTTCATTTTCAGAACGTTTGTTTTTCCTTAAACAAGAGTTAACAATTTACTCAGTTGTAAAATGAACGAGATCAGTTAAATCACAAACTTGATAATTATATTTCTTCGTTTAATTTTTTTTTAAATTAAGCTTTTCTTGCCAATATCATCATAGAAATTTAAATCATATTTATTCAAACATAACATCTGAAATGGACACTTTTCAAAATTAGTTTGTAGGTAGAATACGACATTATAACTACTATAGATTCTTATTTTTAGTGAGTACTTATTATCGTGAATGGGCTTTTCAAAGTCAAATTGCGAGAATAATAATTTGCGAATGAAGATTGATCACGAGATTTTACATATATTTACTATAAAAATAAAGGCAAGTAATTTTATTTCACATGTGCTTTTATTTCACATGCGCTTCTTGCAAAATTATGCAATTAATTCCACTGTATATTTAGGAATCTATAAATAAAATTATCATCAAGTATATTCTGCTACTTTGTCAAGAATTTATCAGCTGCTGAAACTTGCAAGTACAATGTATTTAAATGTTTTAAAAATCATGTGATTTGAAAGTATATATTACTTCAAGGGATTGATTATATTAGTCTCATATAATATACTTAACAGTAAAAGGCAAGGCTAAGGATTTTATCTGAAATTACAGGTGACAATAGTTATTTTAAACTTCTCAGACTTGGTGTGTCATTCAATAAATATTTTGTCTTAAAAGCAAAGATGATATTATGTTCATTCTAATAATATTTTTTTTTTCAATTGATGATATACATGTATTTAAATGTCTGATTAAAGTTGTTATCATGTTCCCTTCCTTTCAATCTTTGATTCTTTCAATGTCAATTTTGAGCTTCCTGTAGAAGTACTTTTTTCCGTGGGGTAATAATTCAGACTGTTTCTGTTTAATCCATGGTAGAAAATTAAGCGGATTTTCTTGACTGTCTATATGCCTTACACTTATATTTAGTACGCTTGGAAGAATTTCCACGAATTATTTGTGACCGCGTAATACATGTAGCGTATATTAATACCAAATATTATACTTTCATGTAAATTAGTTGAATCTGATTGGTCGAGAAACATTTGCTAAACAATAGGCCCATTTTTCACATCGCTCACCTAGCAACTTGTATGATGAGTTCTTCCTTTCCCCTCTTGCTTTACCTATCATAAACCCCCTTGCATTATGATTTTAATACTATATAAAGGATGCTTCAAACAAGTTTCAGCTTTCCTGGCCCAGTGGTTCTTGAAAAGATTCTAAAAAGATTTTTTCTAAATATAGTGTATATCTATGTAAAATTGGATTCCCTATTGTGGCCCCGCCCTTCATGATTTTAACATTTATCTACACTACCCAGGGATGCTTCCAGAGAAGTTTCAGACTCCTGGCTTATTTGTTCGATATATTTCTATGTAAAACTTGGATTTCCTATTGTGGCCCTGTCCAAACCCTAGGGGTCATGATTTTAACAATTTAATATCTACACTACCCAAGGATGCTTCCATATGAGTTTCATCTTTTGAGGCCCAGTGGTTCTTGAGAAGAAGTTTTTTAAAGATTTGCCCTAATGTGTCTTTTATTGACATCTACCCAATTGGACGAGGCCCTTCATTTTAACAATTAAAATTCTTTATTAATGCTTTGTACCAAGTTTGGTTAAAATTGAATTTTTATTTCTGTGAAAAGAAGAGAACATTTACAGCTATTAAAATTGTGATCATTTAAGTTCACCCCGCGGGTCATGATTTGTTTAATGTTTACATACAACAAGTAAAGTACTGTAAATATTTCTACAGGAGAGATTTTTATAAAGATGTTCTATATATTTCTATGTAAATTTCTTCTATTGTGGAAATTTTTTTGATTTTAACATTTAAATCTACACTACCCAAGTGAATTTCCATTATTTGTCAGCTTTCCTTTTCTTGAGAAGAAGATTTTTTAAAGATTTAGGATTTTGTTCTCTATATTTTTTAAAATTTGAATTCCCTATTGTGGCCCCGCCCTATCCCCGGGGATCATGATTTTAATAATTTAAATATTTTTTCCCAAATAATTCCAAAAAGTTTAGCTTTCCCGCCTGTTTCTTGAAAAAACATTTTAAAGATTTGTTCTATATATTTCTATGTAAAACTTGGATTTCCTATGTTGATTCCTGGCCCAGTAATAACTTTAAAGAAAATTTTTAATGATTTGTTCATATATTTATAAAACTTATTCTTTTGTTATTGGGGTCATAACAATTTTATAAGTACCCAAGGTATTTAAATTTCATTTGACAGTGGTTCTTAAAGTGATTTCTAAAGATTTGTTCTAATATTTCTGTGTAAAACTTGGAAACCCTATTGTGGCCCCACCCTACCCCTTGGAATGTTAATTGTTATATCTACTCCCTACGACGTTTCCACATAAGTTTCATCTTGTCCTTGCCCAGTGGTTCTTGAGAAGACTTCAATTTGTTCTATATATTTCTATGTAAAACTTGGATTCTTGATGTGATATTCAATCATAATATTGTTTCTTTCCTTCAGTGGTTTTTGAGAAGAAGATCTTTTAATGACCCCACCCTATTTCCGTTTTTTTTTATTCTTGTAAGGATTGGCCCTTGATAAAAAAACCCCTTAACCCAAGGATGTTTCATTTTAAATTTATAGGAATGTCATATATTGAAATGTTTATCCATATAAAAAAATGTCATTCAGGAAATGTTCTTGAATTTGTAATTTATAAGCAACAGTCATGTATATATATATATATATATATATATATATATATATATATATATATATATATATATATATATATATATATAAGAGTTTATTTAAAATCTGCACTTCAATCTCTCTTTTATTAAGTAGTAATAATTAATACACATATTACAGCATCCACCTTCATCATGTGACAGACCCAGCTATAATGGACCCCAATTACAGTGCCCAAGACATCCTCCTCTGTGACCTGTGTCAAACAACTACATTACAGAGTCACTGTGAACTTTGTCATGTAAACCTCTGTATAGTATGTGTTGGAAAACATCTCTCTGATTCATCTAAAAGACACAATGTTGTACCATACAAACACCGAACTTCTACCCCTAACTACCCAAAATGTCCAAACCACACACAGAAACATTGTGAACTTTACTGTGAGAAATGTGATATTCCTGTCTGTTCTACCTGCATCTCCTCTGGTAAACATCACGGTCATATAATAACAGATATTCTTAAAACAAAGTTCTAAAACAAAAGGAAATTTAGAAAAGATTTGAAAGAACTAGAAAAAAGAATATATCCTACATATGAAGAAATTGCATTAGACTTAAACACTGAAAAAGAAAACTTGGAAAAACATTACAAGAAACTGACAACAGCTGTCACCAAACAAGGAGAAGACTGGCACAGAGAAATTAACATTATTGTCAACAAACAGAAGTCTGAAATTGATGGTATGAAATCTAAACACATGGCTGCGCTAAATAAACAGGAAAATGAAATCAAACAGATCATTTCTCATGTAAAACAGAGCATAGTTGATCTAAAGAAAAAAATGGACTCCAATGATGTCTCCCTAACTTCTGTGTACAAATCCAGGAATGCTGAATTCAGAAGTTTACCTCCTAAAATCAATGTTTCATTACCAAGTTTCTCTCCTCATCAGATCAACACAGAACAGCTCCATCAAATGTTTGGTTCTCTGTCAGCATTATCCATTACAACAGAAGAACATGGCTATACAATAAAGACACCAGAAGCTGTATCCTGTCCTCCAGTCAAACCACAGCTTGATGATCCAGAGCTCATCACCACCATAGACACTGGGTATAACGGACTATCTAGTGTTACCTGTCTCAGTGATGAAGAAATCTGGACATGTGGACATGACAAAATCACGAAACTCTACAACCTCCAGGGTAAACTACTGAAGTCAATCAAAACCAAGCCTGGGAACATACCACGTGACATAGCAGTGACAAAGAATGGAGATCTAGTTTACACAGACCCTGATACAAGAACTGTAAACATAGTAAAGAATAAACAGATACAGGCAGTGATCAGACTACAGGGGTGGAAACCTTACTATGTCTGTAGTACCTCCTCTGGTGACCTCCTAGTTACCAATATGGTAAGTGATAATGATAAACCATTAAAAGTTGTCCGTTACTCTGGCTCCACAGAGAAACAAACCATTCAGTTTGATAGTGCAGGTAAATCCCTGTATTCATCTGGTCAACTTAAATACATCAGTGAGAACAGGAACCTGGATATCTGTGTGGCTGACTATGATGCCTGTGACTGGGCAGCCCATGCAGTAGTGGTGGTAAATCAGGCAGGAAAACTCCGATTTAGATACACTGGTCAACTCTCTACTAATAGGGGATTATTCTATCCCCTTGGCATCACAACAGACAGCCAGAGTCAGATCCTGACAGCAGACAATATCAACAAATGTATCCACATCCTAGATCAGGACGGACAGTTCCTCCGTTACATTGATAACTGTGATCTACAGCGTCCATGGGGTTTATGTGTAGACACAAGAGACAACCTCTTTGTGGCTGATAGTGTAAGGTGTAAAGTGAAGAAAATCAAATACACTTGAAATATCCACCATAACAATGCAGTTAATTATCATAACCATGTTTATTTTAATCATGACAAGTTGAAGTAATTAAGAAAGAAACAATGTAAAAAAAAAAATTTTAAAACATACATTTTCATTGGGATTACATTGTTATTGGATTAAAATGTGTTGTTTCTTTATGATCATTTTTACAATAAATTTAGTTGTTGTATATAAGCATAAACATAGGTAATCAGAGATTACAGAGCACACCTAAACGAATGTTAAGTAAGGCAAAGTCACACAATTTACCAACAAAAATGTACATCCAAAAATGCAAAATTAATGCAATTTTGATCTGATACTTTGAAATAGATCTATACTTCAACCTAGTTCTTTGTCATGAAGATGTAACTAAAATCCAGCATCTGATTAAGGTTTGAGAGTTTTTATCCCTTGATGCATCCCCTGTGAGGTGAAATTTATGATTTCAAGAACTTTTATGAAGCGTTCATGAAACTTCATAAAATATTCATGACTGGTTCATAAAGACAGTTCATGAATTTTATTCATGAATATATTCATAAAATGAAGTTCATGAACAAATGATGAATTTATATGAATATTGGTAAATCGGAAACGTCACACGAGTAAAACTCACCAGAAGTTCATGGGAGTGAACATTCATGAATTTTCATGAAGATTTAATTGACCTGCAATTCGAATAAAAAAATAAATAGTCTTCATGAATATTCATGAATATTCATACATATATTTTACAAGTTGCTTTTAAAAATAAAACAGTACATTATTTATTATAAAAAATTTAAGAGTCATTCTCTGTAAGAATCAAAGAATTCAGAAAAAAGTTGGAAATGGTACATCACAGATTTTGCTGATTTTGTGCATGCAATGTAGAAACACCATGTGTAGAACATTTTGGGGGTTCATTTTTTATTTTGAGTCCCGGTTGCCATGGTAACCAAAACCACCATTTTGAGGCAAAAAATACAGAGCAACTTACTGAAAATATACCATCTTCATCATAAATTTCTATATTCTATATATTATTTACAGATTTAATTTTTGCCTACTCTGATAGACTATTTGTTGTCAGGGCTTATTTATGCAGTCGTTCCATGAAATTGTTTAGATAATTTGATGGTGGAAATTTCGATACATGCATAATCTCCAAAGACGCATGTAGTTCGTCCCAGGAGGAAATGAGCTTTTATTTACTGAAAGATCTTGTCTTTAGTATAATCCGTGCTCGCCCTGCTCCAAGTATTGTTAAAACTTATAATACGGTGCCTGGGGAAAATGCAGTGAAAACAGAAAAAATGTCTTGTTCAAGTTCACTTTTAATTCTTTATTGTGTAAATAGATTTTGTATGTGCTGAAGTGTTATACTTCACTCCTATCCAACGATTATATTTTGGACCATATTACATTGTAAATTAGTTTGCATCTTCTTGTTTCTTTTCCCAGATGCTTCAGTTCAAATTTTCATCAATAAATTTAGTAACAGTTAAGTAGAGGATCACTGTACATCAAATGGTTTGAGGAGCACTGAAAGCTTTCAAGAAAAGCAGGGGAATGGTCAGCATGTGTAACGCTGTGTCAAGATTGTTATCGCCAGGGTTAGGGTTAGGGTTATACGCGCTCATTAAGTGATAAAAGATCTTCCCATTGATTTCATTATTTACAATTTGCAACCTTCATTTTATTCTGTTTGTTGAATAAA